GGAGGGCAGTAATAGAGACATGTTTAAATTTAAACCTCATACCTACCAGAAATGCTTGTTGGGTGCAAACTAAACCTTGTGCAAAACCAGGGAAAGCAGCAGTGACCTCCACGAGAGACTGAGCTGGACCTGTCCGTGTGTGTCTGAGGGTTTCCTGTTGAGGCACGGGTCAGCAGTGGACTGCTGAGGGGACAGGGGCTCTGGCAGCAGCAGTCCTAGGAGATGCAGCGTGTGGCCTAAGTCCTCTTGGAGGAGGTTCCCATCAGCCCCACCATAGAGCTGAAGAGTGGATGGCTCACAAACCGAAGAACAATTATACCAGAGAAGTTCTCACATTGTTGTGAAAACGTAGGCCCCACAACAGATTTCCCAACCTGGGGATACAGCAAAGGGATTGAGAACCCCCAGAAAATTTGACGTGGAAGGCCAGTGGGATTTGATTGCAGAACTTCCATAGGACTTGGGGAACAGAGACTGCTGGAGGGCACAACAAAATTTTGTGCGCACCAGGATCCAGGAGAAAGGAGCAGTGACCCCACAAGAGACTGAGCCAGATTTGCCTGTGAGTGTCCAGGAGTCTCTGGTGGAGGCATGGGTCGACAGTGGCCTGCCTCAGGGTCAGGGGCACTGAATACAACAGTCTAGGGAACTATGCTGACATAAATCCTTCAGAAGGAGGTCACCATTAAAGCCATTACCCAACCCCTATGGGGAACACAACCCCACCCATCAGCAGAAAATTGGATTAAAGATTTACTGAGCATGGCCAAGCCCACCACAGCCAGTCCCTCCTATCAGGAAGTTTCCACAAGCCTCTTATCCTCATCCATCAGAGGGCAGACAGGATGAAAACCATGAGCACAGAAAACTAACCAAACTGATCACATGGACCACAGTCTTGTCTTAACTCAATGAAACTATGAGATGCTGTGTAGGGCCACCCAAGACAGATGAGTCATAGTGGAGAGTTCTGACAAAACATGGTCCACTGGAGAAGGGAATAGCAAACCACTTCGGTATTTTTGCCTTAAGAACCCCATGAACAGTAGGAAAAGACAAAAAGATATGAAACTGAAAGATGAACTTCCTGGGTCAGTAAGTGCCCGATATGCCACTGGAGAAGAGCAGAGAAATGATGGAATGAAGAGGCTGAGGCAAAGTGGAAATAATGTCCAGTTGTGGATGTGCCTGGTGGTGATAGTAAAGTCTGATTCTGTAAAGAACAATATTACACAGGAACCTTGAATCTTAGGTCCATGAATCAAGCTAAACTGGACATGGTCAAGCAGGAGATGGCAAGAGTGAACACCAACATTTCAGGAATCAGTGAACTAAAATGGACTGGAATGGGCAAATGTAAATTAGATGACCATTATATCTATTACTGTGGGCAAGAATCCCTGAGAAGAAATGGAGTAGCCCCCATAGTCAAAAAAAGAGTCCAAAATACAGTACTTGGGTGCAATCTCAAAAATGACGGAATGATCTCGGTTCACTTCCCAAGGTAAATTATTCAATATTACAGTAATCCAAGTCTATGTCCCAACTACTAATGCCAAAGAAGTGGGTTGAATGGTTTTATGAAGACCTACAAGACCTCCCAGAATTAACACCAAAAAAGACGTCCTTTTCATCATAGGAGGCTGGAATGCAAAAGTAGAAAATCAAGAGATACCTGGAGTAACAGGCAAGTTTGACCTTGGAGTATAAAATGAAATAGGGTAAAGACTAAGAGTTTTGCCAAGAGAATGCACTGGTCACAGTAAACACCCTCTTCCAACAACATAAGAGAAGACTCTACACATGGACATCACCAGATGGTCAATACCAAAATCAGACTGATTATATTCTTTGCAGCCAAAGATGGAGAAGATCTATACAGTCAGTTAAAACAAGACTGGGAGCTGACTGTGGCTCAGATCATGAACTCTTTATTGCCAAATTCAGACTTAAATTGAAGAAAGTAGGGAAAACCACTAGGCCATTCAGATATGACCAGAATCAAATCCCTTACGATTATACAGTGGAAGTGACAAATAGGCTCAAGGGATTAGATGTGATAGAGAGGGTGCCTGAAAAACTCTGGACAGAGGTTCATGACATTGTACAGGAGGCAGGAATCAAGACCATCCCCAAGAAAAAGAAATGCAAAATGGCAAAATGGTTGTCTGAGGAGGCCTTATAAATAGCTGTGAAAAGAACAGAAGTTAAAGGCAAAGGAGAAAAGGAAAGATATACCCATTTGAATGCAGAGTTCCAAAGAATAGCAAGGAGAGATAAGAAAGCCTTCATCAGTGACCAATGCAAAGAAATAAAGGAAAACAACAGAATGGAAAACACTAGTGATCTCTTCAAGAAAATTAGAGATACCAAGGGAACATTTCATGCAAAGATGGGCACAATAAAGGACAGAAATGGTATGGACCTAACAGAAGTAGAAGATGTGAAGAAGATGTGGCAAGAATACACATAAGAACTATACAAAAAAGATCTTAATGACTGGGATAACCATGTTGGTGTGATCACTCACCTAGAGCCAGACATCTTGGAGTATGATGTCAAGTAGGGCATTAGGAAGTAACACTAGGAACAAAGCTAGTGGAGGTGGGTGATGGAATTACAGCTGGGATATTTCAAACCTAAAAGATGATGATATGAAAGTGCTGCACTCAATATGCCAGCAAATTTGGAAAACTCAGCAGTGGCCCCAGAACTGAAAAAGGTCAGTTTTCATTCCAAGCCCAAAGAAAGGCAATGCCAAAGAGTGGTCAAACTACCAGATATTGCATTTATTTATCTCTTCACATGCTAGCAAGGTAACACTCAAATTCCTTCAAACTATGCTTCAATAGTACATGAACTGAGAATTTCCAGATGTTCAAGTTGGATTTCGAAAAGGTAGAGGAAGAAGAGAGTAAATTGCCAACATATGTCAGATCACAGAAAAAGCAAGGGAATTCCAGAAAAACATCTACTGCTTCATTGACTATGCTAAAGCCTTTGACTGTATGGATCACAACAAACTGTGGAAAATTCTGAAGGATATGGGAATACCAGACCACCTCACCTGCCTCCTGAGAAACCTGTATGCAAATTAAAAAGCAACAGTTAGAACCAGATATGGAACAACAGACTGGTTCAAGATTGGGAATGGAGTATGCCAAGGCTGTATACTGTCACTCTGATTATTTAACTTATGTGCAGAGTATGTGAGATGCAAGGCTGGATGAAGCACAAATCAAGACTGTCAGGAGAAATATCAACAAACTCAGATATGCAGATGACACCACCCTTATGGCAGAAAGTGAAGATGAAGTAAAGAGCCTCTTGATAAAGGTGAAAGAGGAGAATAAAAAAGCTGGCTTAAAGCTCAACATTCAAAAAACTAAAATCATGGCATCTGGTCCAGTTACTTCATGCAAATAGACGGGCAAACAATGGAAACAGTGAAAGACTTTATTTTCTGGGATTCCAAAATCACTGCAGACAGTGACTGCAGCCATGAAATTAAAAGACACTTGCTCCTTGAAAGAAAAGCTATGACAAATCTAGACAGTGTATTAAAGAGCAGAGACATTACTTTGCCAAAAAAGCTATGGTTTTTCCAGTAGTCACATATGGGTGTGAGAAGAATAAAGAAGACCATAAAGAAGAATGAGCACCAAAGAACTGACGCTTTTAAGCTGTGGCATTGGAGAAGACTCTGGAGAGTTCCTTGGACAGCAAGGAGGTCAAACCAGTCAATCAGTAAAGGGAATCAACGCTGAACATTCACTGGAAGAACTGATGCTGAAGCTGAAGCTCCAGTACTTTGACCACCTGATGCAAAGAGCCCACTCACTGGAAAAGACTCTGTTGGTGGGAAATAGTGAAGTCAAGAGGAAAAGGGGGTGACAGAGGATGAGATGGTTGGATGGCATCATCAACTCAATGCACATGAGTTTCAGCAAGCTGTGGGAAATGGTGAAGAATAGGGAAGCCTGGTGTTCTGTCGTCCTTGGGGTCACAAAGAGTTGGACATGACTGAGCAACTGAACTAGAACAAATGGAGACAGAAACATAGAGAACAGATTTCTGGACTTAGTGAGGGAAGGAGAGGGTGGGATGAATTGAGAGAGTGGCATTGAAACATATACATTACCATACGTAAAATAACCAGTGGAAATTTGCTCTGTGACACAGAGCTCAAATAGGTGCTCTGCAACAACCTAGGGGTGGGATGGGGTGGGAAGTTCAAGAGGGAATAGACATAAGTATACCTATGGTTGATTCATGTTGAAATATGGCAGAAACCAACACATTATTATAAAGCAATTATTCTCCAATTAAAAATAGATTACAAAAAGGCCTCATCACAGACTTTCCCTCCCCCACCACACCAACACATCCCTAAAGGACTGTTTCCAGCAGTTCTTTTGATCCAGCTCATCAAGGCCCTTATTAAGACTGTATCACAGACGTACCAGGCATACCACACCACTCAGAAAGACGAAGAGAACGTCAGAATGAGAGGGGGAAGCAGTGCTTGAGTTATCAGTCCGAGAATCTGAAAGAACTATGAGTGACAGGCCAGTGCAGCCAGTGGAAGAAGTAGCCAGAATGCAAGAACAGATGGGCAATGTGAGCAGAAAGATGGAAAAACCAAGAAAAAACAAAAGGAAATGTGAGACTTTCCAGACACCATGGCTGTCTCCAGGGCCTGCTTTATTTCTTGTGGATGGGTCACCGTATCCTGCTGCTTTGTATGTCCTTGTAATTTTTTTAAATTTTATTATTAATTCTTCGTCATTTTTATTAAAAACTGGACATTTTAGATAACATATTGGAACAATTCTAGGTATTGATGTTCCTGATATTCCAAGGTTTATTTTTGCTGTTTTTGGCTTGCTTGTCTAAAAATTGGCTGGACCAGGTGAGTCAAGCCCACCCCACGGTGTGCAGCCCCCAAGGCCACCCTCAGGGCAGCGACGGGGCCTGATCTCCTTGCCAGCAGGGAGCCCATGGTGTCGCCAGAGGATGGAACTGGGTTTCTGGCAGCAGCCCAGGCATGTGCTCCCCACAGTCCCGCCAGATTCAACAATTCAGCGTGGGTGCCTTTACAGGGGTGGCGGTTGAGCGGCTCTGAGACCTGTCCCAACCCCAGAAGCTCCCTCCTCAGCTGTCTCTTTCTGCGTCTTGCTGCTGGCTTTACAACATTTCCTCTTAAATGCTCAGCCTCAAGATCTCCACCGTCATTTCTGCCTCCTGGAGGAACTGTAATCAAATTACTGCAGGGAGACACACACGAGGAACACGACCTCAGACGTGGTCACCTGAGACGGTCCCCTGCGGGCCGTGGGTTTGGGATGCGCGGGGCCGGGCTGGCGGAGCGCACCTCTCTCTCCACCTCACGGTCTCCAGGGCCCGGCTGGGGTGGGCTGAGCGGTGACCTGGCTTCTCAGCGGCCGCCTCACCTCCTCAGAGCGCAGCCGAGACTCTCCACACGCAGGGCCCCCACCGGCGCCCGTGCCGTCACAGGCCTGTGTCCCCTGCCCCTGCAGCCGCTGAGGCCCCAGGCACGAGCTCCCACCGTCTCCGACTCTGGGGAAGGCTGTGCCGAGGCGTATCTGCAAGGACAGGACAGCCTGTGCACAGAGCGAGGCCTGCGGCCTCCGACTGGGCCGCAGCGAAGGGGCCTGGGTGCTCTCGGCTCGCTCTTCCACGTGGAATCTCTGCCCTGAAGGAAGCGGGACCGGCCCTGCCGAGCTCACCAGAGCAGAGCTTTGCTCACAGCGACCTGGGATCTGGGGTCGGACTGCAGGTGGGCTGTGGCTCAAATATCACCTTATCTTTCTCTTTCCACCAAAATTTGGGAGAGTTTCATAAACAAATGTTTCTCCATTTATCTGCTTGTTACGTTCTTAGGGAAATTTCCAGATCCTGTAAATAGCCATTGAATTGATTCTGTTCAGTGTGAACCAGAAAGATGGTGGTGGTGGTTCTAGGAAGATAGTTCACCCCATCTTTCATTAATATCTGCATGTAGCTAAACTCCCTTATGAATGATTATCTTTATCTTATAAAATAGCAGTTATTAGGGTATAATTGGTGAGCAAAAATTCACCAAGGTTAAGCATTTAATTAGAGGAGTTTTGATAAATGTGTAACTTACACAGCCACAGTCAAGGCAGAGAATGAGTCCATCGCCCCAGATACCCTGCATGTCAGTTCAGAATCAATCCAAGACCCCAGATCCAACCCTAGAAACTACTGGCTTGATGTTATTTCTGTAACAATGAACACACTTGCCTTCTCCACACAGTCACATAAATCCACACGTCTGGCCCCCAAAGGAACCCAGACCCTCATCCGTTGAGCCTGCGCACTCTGACCTACACCCAAAAGTGGCTCCGCCTGTGTGACTTGGCCAGAGGTCCCGAGGTGGAGAGAGCCCTGTGGATCATCCAGGGGGACCCTAGTGCAACCACAAGCAAGCTTATAGTTTCTTCATTCTTGTATCTAGTCAAGGTCATTGATCTAACTTTTACATAATTCTGAAGCTAATGAGCTCACAGAGCTGACAGAATAATACAGTGTGGTAACATTCCTACAAGTAACTGCAGAAATCTTATGTCTGTGGGAAAGAGCAGGGGTGAAGGGTCACTGTCACGGAGATAAATATTGGATCTAACCACAAACACTGCAGATGGTGTGTTTGGAGAAGAGGGCTCCAAAATCACTGCAGATGGTGACTGCAGCCATGAAATTAAAAGAAGCTTGCCCATTGGAAGAAAAGCTATGACCAACCTAGATAGCATATTAAACAGCAGAGACATTACTTTGCTAACAAAGGTCCGTCTAGTCAAAGCTATGGTAGCTTTTTTCCAGTAGTCATGTATGGATGTGAGAGTTGAACTATAAAGAAAACTGAGCACTGAAGAATTGATGCTTTTGAACTGTGGTGTTGGAGAAGACTCTAGAGAGTCCCTTGGACTGCAAAGAGATCCAACCAGTCCATCCTAAAAGAAATCAGTCCTGAATATTCATTGGAAGGACTGATGCTGAAGCTGAAACTCCAATACTTTGGCCACCTGATGGGAAGAACTGACTCATTGGAAAAGAACCTGATGCTGGGAAAGATTGAGGGCAGGAGGAGAAGGGGGCGACAAAGGATGAGATGGCTGGATAGCATCACCGACTCAATGGACCTGAGTTTGGGTAAACTCCGGGAGTTGGTGATGGACAGGGAAGCCTGGCGTGCTGCAGTCCATGGGGTCACAAACAGTTAGACACGACTGAGTGAATGAATTGAACTGAACCACAAACAGACATGGAACTGGACTTGAGTGTGAAGACGAAGCTAACAACTGTGATGGTAGTGGAGTTCCTCTGGGGTAGGGCACTGCACAGCACAAGTCAGGGCGTGACTCTCCAGAATGCAGCATGGCTGGGACCTGGTTTATAAATGTCTGTGGGCTTGGAATTTGTGTGATATTTGGCCTTTGGGGTTTAATAAGGTGAATTGGAAGTAATCAAATTTGGAGAGAAAACACAATTTTTGGCTAGATGTTTTCAACTCTACAAATAACCAACTTACAGGATAAAATTAATGACATTGAAATATTTGTACTGGTAACTGCATTTCATCTGAAATGCATACCCTGAGACATCTTATCACAAAGTAAATTTCAGCAACATGCTACACTTCTGATACACTTAACAGGCAAGCCGCTAATGCGTGTCTTGTAGACATGCCTCAAAACCCTCACAAAGTCACAAACTAGATGGTTTCATCCTCTCATCTAGTGATTCAAATCTGTGAAATTAATGTCTGGATAACTCATGTTCAATATGATCCCTGAGTGTGGAGGAAAAAACATGCAAACCAGATTTAATATATATGCATTAATATACCATATTTGTCTTTCTCTTTCTGACTTACTTCACTCTGTATAATAGGCTCTAGGTTCACCCACTTCATTAGAACTGATTCAAATGTGTTATTTTTTTATGGTTGAGTGATATTCCACTGTATATATGTACCACAGCTTCTTTATTCATTCATCTGCATGATGCAGGGAGCTCAAACTCAGTGCTCTGTGATGACCTAGAGGGGTGGGATGGGGTGGGAGGTGGGCACGTGTACACCAACGGCTGATTCATGATGTATGGCAGAAACCAACACAACACTGTAAACCAATTATCATCCAATTAAAAAGAAATAATTTCTTTTAAATGTAAACTGGGAAAAACAACACTGAATTGTAAAGAAACACAAGGAATTTGATATATGGCTAAAAAACACATAGTAATACAAAGCATAACAATACGCCTATACATCTTAAGATGTGCCAATGAGAAAAATCCATGGGTTGCCTGCCTTCACAAAGATAGCACACTACACGGCGGCAGGGTTGTTTATTTGTTTTTTTGCTTCAAACATGTGAAGGTCCATAGAGGAAGGTTCACTAATGGCCTATTCTCTAAAAAACTGTCTCAAGTGAAAGGATGAACACAGGACTGCTACGGAAGCATTTTCATATAGACAAAACTTTCCCAATTAAATGCTGTCTCTTCCCATCCTCCCCTGTCTCTATGCTATCTCGTGTTACTGCCTCTACCCTTCCTTACCTTATGGTGTAAGGATATTTCGGGGGATTGTTTGCTCTTTGTGACAGAGACTTCGCTCTTCTGCCCATCCCTATATTCCTAGTGAGTAGATAATAGTTGTTCTTGATAAATATTTGTTGAACTAATAAACACATGATATGGTTGTAGCTGGTGAGGATGTGTAGGTTTTATTTGGTTAAGTAAAGGTTTAATGCTCTGAATCAGAACTCTTAGTTTTGGTGATGTTATTTTTAATTCTCCTGGATGGAGAACTGCACAGTCTAGAAGTCTCTGACGGGCAGCGTATGTCAATCCCGGCAGAGGTGATGTGGGTAATAACTAGATGGGGGATTACAGGCTTCAGGATGCCAGCAGCTGACAGTGTTTAGCAGTATGCACTTCAGTGTAAGCACCTGCATATTAAGACCTTCTGTAAGCACACGTAATATTGCCCATAAAAATAAAGCCTTGAAAGGCCTTAGCTGCTTCCCCGCAAATTATGTTGTTATTGCAGGAGAAAGAGGCTTTTACCTGAGGAGGCTGGATGATTAAATAAAGTTCTAGGTTAGGTAATTTCCCATTTTTCAAGCACTGCTGCAGGGCAGGAGGCTGACAGCAATGGCAGAAAGAACGAAAGCCTTTATTAAGCCTGGTCGGGTTTTCATCCCACAGCTTTGGGATGCTAAGGGAGTGCACCTAATCCCTTCTCAGGGACCCCACACCTAACACTCCGAGCACCCCTGCACAGGGCCCTGCCATCCTGCTGGGAGGTTTGCTGTGGCCAGTGGGAGAGGAACCGCCGGACCGGGGCTCAGGGAAGCAGAGAGCCTTCCTCCCTGCAGAGGCTCACGTGACCCTAGCGAAGCCCACCCCCACCGCTGCTGACCACGGGACCGCTGCCGCATGCCCCAGCACTCTGGTCTCAGAGGGGCCACCCCACCTTCTCGCAGGGCACTCCCCCATCGGGCAAAGCAGTTTAGGGGAAAGAGGAGCAGTGGGTCTGCCTGCAGGGAACATGCCTGAGGTTGGACCAACACTGCCACCCAAACTGTGGGTCTAAGGTGGAAGAGGGGAGTGAGGGAGGCACCCCGAGAACTGGGGGTCGCTGCTCCACACTTGACGTTTTCAATGTCTTCAGCGTGTGATCAAAGACCTCGTTTCTTCCTGCCTGGATTACGCATCCTGCAAACATCTTGTTAGGAACCTGGGGTTAAAGTGACGACTTCTTATCACCCACAGACAAGTTACATGCATGGGCCACACAGTGTTTCCGTCCTAAAAAACAAACATCTTTAGTAATGAATGATAGAAAATGTCATATTTCCTGAATCCCAATGCAAACTACATGGTCAGTTCTTGCTCACAAGAACAGGATTCATCAAGAGTATACAGTTCATGGTACGGAAAATCTGTTCTTTTCAAGGCATTTCATAGTTTCCAAGATCAGTGAGAAAGAAGCCTGAATTGCAGTTGATCTGAAGAGGTTCTCAAGTTCTGGGAAGATACACTCCCATAATGGGAAAATGATTTAGAGGAGTGTAATTTCAAAAAGCTACTTTATACAACCATGTTTATTTAGGAAGCAAAGAAGCTTTTCACTGGATGTAATCTGCATAATACTGACCTGCAAAATCTAAATAGGGCTGATAGAGAACGGGAAAAACTTAAGTCAGTGGTACTGGTGAAAAACACACCAACCTTCATTGAGAAAATCAATGACGAAATGTTAATCAGAATTTTTCAGCACTGACTTAAATTCAGAGTCTGATCCTGTAACTTTTTTTCTGCTTGAGAGAGTCACGGCAATTACATGACTCAGAAGCTGACATTTTCCCTATGAATTTAGTAGGTGTTAATCTCCTATGCTTTTTATTTCATTTTACTTTGATCAATTAATCCCTCCTCTGACTCTACTGTAAATAATAACGTCCCCAAGAAGATCATGGATCACAGGGTAGTTACTTGAAAAAACTGCTGTACAAAAGACTTTTACACAAACATAAGATGTGTCAGCCTGTCTGTGCTGCTCAGTTCATTCCTAAACATGAATTTCCCAGTTTGCATGAAAATAACATATAGTTAATTTCATGACTATTCATAGATAAGAACAAATGTTCCAGTCTATTATTTA